CACACACACACACACACACACACACACACACACACACACACACACACACATACACACACACACAGACGGTCATGTCCCTACACGGAGATAAGTGTCTGGACTCAGCCCTACTGAGAATGGTTGCTGGGAATGCCCCTGAGACCATGCCGTAATGGTAGACGTCAACAGGGGTTGTGTTTTCTTACTCTTAGTCTTGAATCAGTAAAAGATGAAGAAAAAAAGCACACTTGCGTATTCACTGGTTTAGGCCCAGTCATGATTCCTTTAAAGACGCTGCCAATAGATTTTAGTCATTCTCTGGCAAAGGTTTCTCTTCAACCACAAACACTACACATAGTTGCAGAATGAGTCACCACCTTGAGTAATCTAATTCCTTGACCAGTACATGCCTGCTGCTCACGGCACACAGTGTCCTTCCTTGTGTATTTTGTTTTGCTCTGTTCTTGGGAGCTTCTTTAATACTTTCTTAAGGGTACAGTAAAGGATTCACTCTGAATCCTCAGCTTCCTCAGCAGCCTGTGACCTGCCTAGTCATCAAGAACCAAAATGTTAAGTTTTATTACGCGTTCTCATACCTTCAGTTAAGCTAGAGGGGGCATGATTACTGCAAAAAAGCAGTAAGTGTAGGTTAAAAAAAAATTCCCCCCCCAAACTGGAAGCCGTTTGCTAAAGAATCCAGGGGAAAAACAAAAGGGAACGAACTGAATGATGGTCCAGGGAAGATGGTGGAGTGGAGTCCACACCATGTCACCAGCCAGGTTCCCACAGAGGCTCAACTTACATCACCAAATAACACCCAAGAGTTATTTCTATCAATAAAGTTTAAAGCACATAAACCTCTGAGCTTATTTTTGCATGTTTTTTTAAAAAAAGTGTTCCTTAAAGATATTTTCCAGTCCAACATATTATAACCACAACCAGGAAATATTTTTTTCTCCAAGGCTGATAGATTGAAACATTTTGAATATTTGTAACCTGTTCTTTTAAGAAGAAGTTTTTATGAGTATCTGGTGAGCACTTTTTGAGGTTTTTTTCTCTTTCTCTTCCCATGAGTGGGTACCAATATTATGGAAATACAAATTGGAGAAATGAAACCATCAACAAAATGAAAAAGCAACCTACTGAATGGGAGAAAACATTTGCAAATTGCATATCTGGTAAGGGATTAATATTTAAGATACATAAGGAACTTACACAACTCAACAGCAAAAAATCAAATAATCCAATTTAAAAATGGACAGAAGATCTGAATAAACATTTTTCCAAAGAAGACATACAGATGGCCAACAGACACATGAAAAGATGCTCAATATCACAAATCATCAGGGAAATGCAAATCAAAACCATAATGAGATACTACCTCACACCTGTCAGTATGACTATTATCAAAAGGTCAACAAGTAACAAGTGTTTGCGAGGATGTGGAGAAAAGGGAACCCTCTTGCACTGTTGGTGGGAATGTAAATCGGTGCAGCCACTACGGAGAACAGTATGGAGGTTCCTCAAAAAGTTAAAGATAGACCTACCACACGACCCAGCAATCCCACTCCTGGGTATTTAACCAAAGAAAATGAAAACACTACCTTGAAAAGGTATCTGCACCCCCATGTTCACTGCAGCATTATTTACAATAGCCAAGACATGGAAATAATTTAAGTGTCCGTTGATAGATGAATGGATAAAGAAGATATACACACACACACATATACACACACTGGAATGTTATTCAGCCATAAAAAATAAAATCTTGTCAAAAAATAGATAAAATAAAACCTTGTCATTTGCAACAACATGAATGGACCTTGAAGGCATTATGCTAAGTGCGGTAAGTCAGAGAAAGACAAACAGCACGTGATCTCACTTATATGTGGAATCTAAACAAGCAAACAGGCAAACAAAACCAAGCTCATAGGTACAGAGCACAGACTGGTGGTTGCCAGAGTTAGGGGGTGGGAGGTGGGCAAAAATGGGTGAAGGGGGTCAAAAGATACAAACTTCCAGTTATAAAATAAATAATTCATAGGGATATAATGTACAGCATGATGACTATAGTTAATAATACTGTCTTGAATATTTGAAAGTTGCTAAGAGAATAGATCTTAAAAATTCTCATCACAAGAAAAAAAAATTCTGTAACTATGTATAGGGACAGAAGTTAACTAGACTCATGGCGGTGATCATTTCGCAATATACACAAGTATCAAGTCATTATGTTGTACACCTGAAACTAATATAACGTATGTCAATTAATTATACCTCAATTTTTTAAAAAAAGAAAGAAATTGGAGAAATAAAAGTACTTTAAATTCATTTCTACTATTGCCACTCTACTCCATAACCAAACGCAGAAGGGAGAAAGACACATCTTAAGTGTATGCTGCAAATGAGGAAGCTTTCAGAACAAGCTGAAGAGTGGCTGTTTAATAGTATTATTCATAACTTATATTTGCGTGGCAATACACAACTCTCACAAAACTCACTTCACCCTCAAAACAGCCCTGAGAACTAGATATACTACCATCAAGGAAACAGAAGTTCCCAGGTTCTATGGAAGGTGGTGGAGCTAGGACTCTCAGTTTAGTGCTCTTTGTTCAGCATTCTCTAAGGCAGCTTGCCCCAGACAGGAAGCGCAGCCATCTGCCCCAGAGAATTCTCTAGTTAACCTAGGGTGAGACTCCTCTCCACCTAAGGACAGCGAAGTGAGCCACAAAACTTCTCTGAGCTTCTGTTTTCTCATCTGTAAACTAAGGACAATGCCACCCATCCCCACAAGATAAGGTGAGAGTAAAATCAAATGAGGCCAGCGAAAGAAGTTTAATAAACCATAACTGTTACGCACATGTTATACAAATCCCTTCTCCCGTCCCGGAGCTATATCGCAGAGTGAATAAGGACGCTTATTTACTGTTTGACCTTAGGCAAGTTTCTTAATATTTCTAAGGCTCAGCTTCCTTATCGGTAAAACAAGAATACGACAAGGACCTTGCCCATGAGATTATGGTTGAAGCGTAGAGGAGCTAATCCATGCCCAAGCACTCAGCACTGGTCACTGCATGGACATAGCCAGTCCTCAATAAATGTTGGCTTTCAATAGTAAAGCTGTGTTTGATCCCAGCACTTTACCAGCTCAAGTATAAGCAAACAGCCCCAAATCGTGTCTATCCAGGCTCTTTGCTCTGATGGCAGTTTCAACTCTATTCTCTCAAAAGACAGTTTTGGATGAGTTCCACTTACCCTTTGTTTTGCAAAATCAACATCTCCGGTCCACAACAAACTTTCAGCCACTGAACATGGTTTGCCCTCCTTTTATTCCTACAGCATAGGATTGGGTTGGACAATATTTACCCCATCCTGATAGACAGGGAACAAAACCGACGCACTCCACACCTTGGTGTTCCTCCCCAAAGAGGGGCAGTGCGACAGTGTTACTTCAAAAGTTATTTGCTGAAATTGAGTTATTTGTAGTGAGGTGGATGGACCTAGAGTCTGTCATACAGAGTGAAGTAAGTCAGAAAGAGAAAAAAAAATACCGTATGCTAAAAAATATATATGGAAACTAAAAAAAAAAAAAAAAAAGGTTCTGAAGAACCTAGGGGCAGGACAGGAATAAAGATGCAGACGTAGAGAATGGACTTGAGGACATGGGGAGGGGAAAGGGTGGGCTGGGACGAAGTGAGAGAGTGGCGTGGACATATATACACTACCAAGTGTAAAACAGATAGCTAATGGGAAGCAGCCGCATAGCACAGGGAGATCAGCGCGGTGCTTTGTGACTACCTAGAGGGGAGGGATAGGGAGGGTGGGAGGGAGACTCAAGAGGGAGGAGATATGGGGGTATACGTATATGTATAGCTGATTCCCTTTGTCATAAAGCAGAAACTAACATAACATTGTAAAGCAATTATACTCCAATAAAGATGTTAAAAAAAGTTATTTGGCAGTTACGGAGCCAAGTTTTATGAAACACAGAGGAGAATAAATTATTTTATGTACTAACTCGGAAAAGTCAACCCTAGCTGTCAGTGACTAAAGGAATGTAAAAAGCAGCAAAGCACCTGACATATAATTGGCACATAAGACGAGCTGCGCTAGAAGAGAAAAAGTAACAAGGTGTCTTCCGGATTGGATTGATGTCTGATCATGGCTTTGAAGAATGTTTTAACAGGAAAAGAAGAATAAACACCAGCACAAACTAATCTTAAAATCTCATTCGTCTCTGGCTAGGAACACTACTTCTTAATTTAATCAGGTAACTACATTTTTCTGTAACTTAGATCATCTGAATATATATATATCTATCTTTACGCATTGCCTGTGGGTCATATAAATTACACATATCAACACTCACATGAATGGAAGCCGTTTACCTGTGCTCAGATACGATGGCGGCGTGTGGGCCATTTCCTCAGACTTGCTTTCAGGGAACGTTGAAACCCTGAGATGTCCCAGTGATTTTCAGAGGAGAGAAACTGAAACTCAGGAACTAGATGCAGACAGAGACATCCTGAAATCCTTGCCATTTCCTTGTTCCTGAGCATTTCAGAAGTAAACGTGTTCATCCTCAAACATTTCATTTTCCTCTTAATTCTTCCCTTTGGGTGGTCTTACAGGGTCTGTGTTTCGTATCTTAGACTTCCTACCTTGTCTGCTTTGTTTTCTTCAGAACTTCAGCATTTGAACATGTGACTCGCTATCTTATGGAAACTCGATTCAGTCCGTGAACATTTATTAAGTGCCTGCTACCTAAAAGGCAGGTACAGGACACTGATGTTGATACTGTAAACCCCCAGACATCTGCAAACAATATCAAGGTACCAAGCTCTGAAGATGGGAATTTGAAGAAAGCCTAGCTCTTGCACTCTAATATGTAGACAAGCGAGAGACGGAGGGAGAGAAATAATTACAACACAACGTGAAAAGTGCAAAACAACCAGCCGTTCTGTGGGTTTCCCCCCTTTTCTGACCTTCCTGCTGAAATTTGTGAATGGTTGTGGTGGCGATGTCCAGGCTCCTCCTGGAGAAATGGGATGCTCGAGCTCCAGCCCCAGAGTAGAGCCCGGCAATGGATGGAAATCCAACCCATTCACGAGGCACCCCCATCTCCCCATATTCCCACAGAGCACATATTTTTTCTTTCTCATAAGAGCCGTAGATTTTTCCTATAGCTCTGGAAAGAGCCTTTCACTGGGGCCTCCTACCCTTCCCTCAATTCCCGCTCTTGTCTCGTTTTTTTCTCCCTGCCCCCCACATCTCTAGGTGTCTGTGACTTCCTTCCTGTTCCATTGTTCCAATGCTGTCATCCCCTCATCACGCGGGGCCTCCCCCAAATGACATCGTGGAAACGGCCGGCTCCCTGGAACACAAGAAAGTATGTCTTTTGCACCGTGGGTAGTTACACTGAAAGAGTCTGACACTATCCTGTTTACATGTTGTATTTTTAAACTGAAAGCAAGCATGTATAGATAAAAGATTTCTCTTTCTAAGACAATCAAAGTGCAATTTGAAGAAAACCCATAAGGAGCCTTTACCTTTCTACACTCATGAATTTGACCCAAATGAAAGCATGAGGAAAAGAAAATTATATAATTGTGAGAACTTCCTCTCTGTTTTAAGATCTATACATTCCTGGAGAAATCAAGAAACAGAGAGACATGCAGGAGGCGGGCTGAGCCAGGGGTGAGCATTTCTCTCTGTGGCGGCCCCCTCAGGGGCTGTGGCTTTGGATGCCTCGTCTCTAACTGGGTGAGACAAGAATGCCATTGTTGCAGCTCTCACCACAGTTCTGGGAATGAAGAATAGCAACGTTCCTTATTCTTACATCCCAATATAATCTCTTTATCCAAGGCCTACGTTTCAGAAGGTCTCAATTTGATATGTGGATCTTGGAAAACCCCGTCCAGAAATCAGGAAGACAGCCGGGGGCGCCCAGGAGGTTGAGGCGTACTCCCGTCTGTGTGGCTGTGAGGATGCTCTGACCCGTGGCCCGAGGCCAGGTGGTCGGGTTCCTCCCCCCACACTCCAGACAAGTTAGGAGGCAGTGCTGCGGCTCCAGGCCTGCTGGGGCTGAGCCCAGACTCTAGAACCTAATGGACGGCAGGCAAACCCCGGCTCCATCACTTACAATGTGATTTTGAGCTGGTTACTAAACTTCTCTGTGCCTCAGTTTCCTCCCTGTGAAATGGGGAAAACAAAAGAACCTCATGGGGTCCTCATGGGGGTAAAGTGAGTTAGTATTTATGGGGTTCCCAGAGCTGTGTTGGACATGTAGTAAACACTACACGCATGTTTACCAGTAAGATGCCCAAGACTCCAGGGGAAATCCAATTAATGGTAAAATGGTCTCCTTTATCTGGACATAAACTATGAAATACCAGCACTCGATACACTTACATCTCAAGTCACATAATGCCAGATTCTAAAGACAGGTTTTTAAAAAGGCATAATTCCTGGTAATACTGCAACCAACAAATAAAACAGAGGTAGCAACACAATATAGAGGATACCGCTGAGCCATTTCAAGGCAAAAGAGGCATCTACCCAACAGGAATAGGGTTGTGCCCTTGCCCTTGTGCATACATGCCCTTCAGGACTCAGGTGTGTATGTGCTTCCAAAAAAATGACCCCACTGAGATGGGCAGACTTTCTCCCCAGATCCCTGGGTTCAGAGAAACCCACAGTTCACTAAGGCAGTTTGCTCAGCTCTAATTAGGAATCTGATTGCTGGTTGGCCTTGCACAAAGGACTTTTAATTAGGGCTGAGAACGCTTAGAAAAATCCACTTGGCAAGTCGACTCCTTCCCTCTATCTCTTTTTTAACATCTTGCCAAGATAATAAGGAAAGGGAGAGCTTAATTACAGCTGGTGTATATATCTTTAAGAAAAAAAATACATTAAGTGCTTTAAAATAGGCTCTCTTGGCTCTGTGATCACAAGGATTTTACTCACTTCTTATCCCTGATTGGTCCCATTCTCAGTTACAGATGAATCAGACACATTTTGAGCAGCTTTAAGATTTGCTTTTCATCCAAAGCCAAGTAGGCAAATGGCAGTGAATTCACAAGCTTTTCCAAATGATCTCATAGGTTCCTCCGGCTCCCCTGTGGGGACCGTTTGACCTCTGCAATGCTGTTATCTTAAACACCCCCGGACTGCTTGTGTCTCAGGGGGAGGCTGCCACGTAGGACTGGGCGAGGCACTCCACTTTCTAGAAGGCGAGTTTCAGTACCTTAATGTGTGCATGTGGTAGCCGTGAATTGTAAAAGAAAATAAGCACAGAGAAGACCCTCAGCCAGAAATTTGGGCCTGGAGGAGATGGGGTGGACACACAGCCTTGGAGATGGATGCTGTCCTGAAATCAGCATTTCTCAATGCATTGGTAGAGCCACCCTCTCATTAAGTCTCCCAGCCTGAAAACAGGTGACCCACGCTCCCCTTCAATCCATTGGAACCTGGCCCTGGCAGCCAGTGACTTTCTAATTATTTATGTGAGATATCTGACAGTGCAGAGTGCCTGAACCGGTGTAATATATGCGCAGGGAGACTCTGTGAACCTCAAATCAGCCCCTCAGATGCGTGAGATTTCCCGACTGAAGTTCACGTTTACCGCTCCTTTAATCTCTCTTTTTTTTTTTTTTTTTTTTTTTAACAAGCCTTTGTGCCTCGGTGCTAAGGATCCCTTTCATCTAATCTCAGGCACCTGAAGCTCTGCTATTGAATTACATTTCTTCACTTATATTTACGTTTGATGCAAAAATAAGAAAGCGGGTAGAAGCATAAGATGCTGTCACGTACGTCTGAAAGGGATCTGTCGATCATCCCGGAGCCCCATCCAGCTCTTTCACACTTTTTCTATGAGATGCTTCTGTGCAGACTCTTGACTTTGGCTCCGTGGAATGATCTTAAAATTCAGGCACATCCCTCTCTGCTGAGCTTGTGTGGCTCTTGGTCAATAGGGATTTTAAACTCTTCTGCCTTTTGACTGAGACAACTGGTGAGGGGTGGAGGGTTTCCCAAGCCCTAGAAATATGTGCCGGCTACCCGAGTACCTTCCAATACAGACATCTTTCTAAGGTCGCCCTGGTTCTGCAGTGGCAGCCGCGACATATACATTTCATGATTTTACGGCAAAATGTCATGGACTAAAAACTCCTTAATATCAAAGAAGGTATTGGAGGGGGAGCAGCTTTCTAATTCAAGCCAGGTGAACTTCTAAGATATGGGGCTGATTTATCACACCATATGTATGCCTCTCCAGGACATTGCTGTTACCCCATCTTAAAAGAGAGATCAGACATGAATTTATCACCATTATTTTCTTCCTGCTTTTAAAAATAATCAGGTTTCTGTGTTACCTTCCTTCTCAACTGCCAAGAACATGCTCCAGAGCTTAGCATTAGCTCTTCTGATGAGTTGGAGAGGAAAATGTCATTATCCTTGTTTTACAGATGGAGAAATCTGAGGCTCAGGGGGACTGTTTTGCCTAAGGTGAAAGTATTGTTTTAATCCTAGACTTTTATTCTTATCTCTTCAAATTTCTTCCTGAGGGTGGTAATGAGCTTGGAGGATTCATCAGGACTAAACCTTGTCTGAAGACTTGTTTATAAAATTATTTCAATAAAATCCACAATCAGATTGGCTGGGGTGTGTCTTCAAACCGAGCGGCTTACCTAATGAGCATACTCATCAGGGCGGCAAAATCTCTCCTTACCAGCCGGCTGCTTCTCCCACGTTTTATCAAGGTGGGCGGAGGAGGGGGCCTGGTGTAAGTTTATTAGTAATAAAGACCAGAGCCCTAGGAGCTTTTATATGAGAATCTGGTTTCTTTTTCATTTCTTTAATTATTTAAAAAGTTAGGTTGGAAAATGTTTGTGGAGCAGCTAATAATGTGACTTCAGATAGGGATGGGTTGGCAGGTCCCACTCATTAGCTCTGAAACAGCTTCGGTGAGTTGCTGTCTCCTAATTCCCCTTCCTTGTGGTTGTGCTATTTGCCCCTCTGATTCCTATCTGCCTCCCCAATTCAACTCACACACTTAAGTTACGTATACAAAAGACTGAATTTTCAAAGTAAAAAGGAACCCAGAAGGAGGATTTTTATGTTTCAGAGCCCAGGGTTTCCAAATATTCATGGGTCTGGGAGCCACCATGGATGCCTGTTGGTTAGGAGTTTGTCTTCCATATTTTCCATATTTGTGATGTTCTGAAACATAGGTTCTTTGGTTATTTACAACAGGACAGCACCACTGAAGACAGTAAGCCAAACTGTGGACGATTGTGGGGCTAGGTTGTCAAAAGTGCCCTCACCCCAAGGTGGGAAAGTACTCCTCAGTCCTAAAGATCCACCATTGCCCGAAATATCTCTTTTTGTGGTTTATCCATGTTTTAGCATGTTATAATAGCACATATTTATTTCATTT